ATTTCACTTGTTAATGTGAATAAAAGTATCGACCAACTTTTATGTCAGAACTACACTCATTAATTGCAGCCACAAATTGTCTATAAATATTAGCTAGGCAACAATCTTTGGAAAGTCATTGACTATTTGAAATTTGTAAGAAAGAGTATTGTATATTTTATTATTATTTGTAAATTATGTGCTATACAATGTTTATATTAAAAAAATTTATAATGAACAAAGACATATATGCAAACTGTTCTCCCCCGCCCCCCCCTCCCCCCAGAGAGCTGGTTGTTCAATATTTAACAGTACATCACAGGTAATCAAGCATGGCATAGTGTAAAAAAAATATTGTTTTTCTTTTTAAGTATAACTTAGATTGTACTCTTTCTGAGAGTTAATGCTTGTCTTGAGATAAATGCATGTGTGTCTGATTCAATGGTTATCTACTAGATCACCAGGAAGGATCTTTACTCTTCATCTCACACAAACTTGGAAAGATCCAGTTTATTCTGGACTCTTCTGTAGAAGCCTCCCTCCACTTCCCAGGCAGATGGTAATATTAGCGAACCTAAAAGACTTCTGTGGGAACATGTACATGAAGAATTACTGTACTGGCAGAGTGAAAGGTATTGGAGACTGTGGAGGTTTGGAGAAAATGAATTTCCTGAAAGTGACATGAGCACAGGAAACAAAGCCAGGAATGGGTGTGTCCATCATAGCTCTCAGCCACACAGTAGTGACTATTTCCCCACAAGGTGTCCCAACCCAAACCACAAGTAGAATCAGAATCCTCTTCTCCCCAGAGTTTAGGGGTCCAGAACTGGGCAAACAGCTTATCGTTTACCTCACATCATCATTTTCAGGAAATAAAATCTCTGAGGACTGAACTTGGAGTGGTAACAGAGAAGGGCGGCTTACTGCACTTCTTCTAAAGTCACATCCTATTCAGGGGACCTAGGCCAGGAGTTTCAGGGACAAGGACAAGAGGTGCTCACAACTCACTCGCTGGTTCAGAACAGATGGGAAAACCACCCTTTCCTCAGTGTATATTGCAATGGGTGAAATGGGGAGGCTTTGTAAAGAGGTCTATTGAGAAGTTGAAAGGAGCCTGATGCTAGAAGTTTGCATAGAAGGTTGTAGAGAAGCCGAAAAGGGAAATTTAGATGAAGCAGAGAAAGGAAGGTCAGCTCAAAAATGAGCTGTAAATTTTATATTAAGATCAACCCCTGGCATGGCTCAGGGGTTGAGTGTCTACCTATGAACCAGGAGGTCACGGTTTGATTCCTGGACAAGGCACATATTTGGGTTGCAGGCTCGATCCTCATTGTGAGGCATGCAGGAGGCAGCGGATCAATTATTCTCTCTCATCATTGATGTTTCTATCTCTCTCTCCCTTCCTCTCTGAAATCAATAAATATGTTATTTATTTATTTTTTTTTAAAAAGATCAGCTGTGGCTATGAGGTGAAAGGAGAACCTAGATCAGCCATGTGAACATGGCCACTCCTATGTTGGAGGGCCACCGTCCCCAGGCCTGGAGAGAACACTTGTTTTCCTGGAAGGAAATGAGTTTCAGGAGGTAGACACCCATTGGAGACAGAGAACTGAGACAGAGAATTGAGGTAGGATAAGCACACTGTGAGAAGGGGCAGGGTACAAGTTCAGGAGTGAATAGGTTCAAAACAACCTAGGAGAGAAGACAAAGTACTCCAGGGGCTGATGACAGTCAACAACTTCCTTCTTGTAGAACTTCCTTTTCTTGGCTTTCAAGACCTGCCCTCCTGATCCTCTGTTAGCTTCTCCCCAATCCACCCAGGGATGATGAGTGGAACTTGAGTGGCGAGGCACACTGCTGATAATGAAGTAAATCCTTGAAAGAAAAACAGAAATAGCTTGGCTAAAACTTCAACTATACAGGGTGGGGCAAAGGTAGTAACTTTACATTTGTTTATATGGAAAAATAATACAGTAATTAATAAATAATAATACAAGAATAACCTATGTGTTTCACATATCTATACTAATAATAGCCTAGGTGGCGTCATGCCCTTGCGTGTAACAATGTCTCATGGTGGCCGCCACAAGATGGCCTCCACAAGATGGCCTCCACAAGATGGCTACATGCACAGCAGAGGCGGGGCCTGATGGCTGCTCCACACAGTAAGGCCTGGGGGTCCCGCAGCTCTGTGTGGCACTGAGGAGGCGGGTCCTGGCTGAGGAGGCAGGTCCTGAGAGGGGAGGGCAGTTGTGGGCGATCAGGCGGGCAGGGGAGGGCAGTTGTGAGTGATCAGGATGACTTGGAAGGAAAGGTGGGGGCCATCAGGTCAGCAGGGGAGGGCAGTTGGGGGCAATCAGGCAGGGGAGCAGTTAGGGGTCAATCAGGGAAGCAGGGGTGTGGTTAGGGGGCGATCAGGCTGGCAGGCAGAAGTGGTTAGGGGCAATCAGGCAGGCAGGCAGGCAGGCAGGCAGGTGAGTGGTTAGGAGTCAGAGGTCCTGGATTGTGAGGTCCCTGAGTGATCCGGCCTAAACTGGCAGTTGTACATCCCCCAAGAGGTCCCAGATTAGAGAGGGTACAGGCTGGGTCTAGGGACCCCCACCCCCGTGAACAAATTTTGTGCACCCGGCCTCTAGTAACTATATAACTATGGGTGTTTGCCTCACCCATAAATAAAGGGTTTCAGTTTAACACTGATTTTATTTCTTGAAAATGATTATGTGGGGAAAAAGAAAAACTGTTTGCCCAGTTCTGGCGACCCAAATTCTGGTAAGAAGAGGATGTTGATTTTACTTGTGGTTTGGGGTGGGACACCTTGTGGGGAATCAGTCACTGCTGTGAGGCTGAGGCTATGACTTGCCCTTCTGTGCCCTCCCCATTTCCTTGGCTGTGGACCAAGCTGCTTTGAACTGGATGATGAGCACCACCTGCAGGTAGAAAACTGGAGAAAATATCTGAATACAGTTCAGCATTATCATGGATCAGGACAAATGCCCAGTGAACTCTCTTTGGATCATCTCTGAAATGTAGTTTCTTTTTTATTAAGGGACAATATGTCAGGTCCAGTCCTGCAGGGGGAAGCAGCCCTAATTTTGGCAGAATCTGAGAGACATCACTACCTCCTTCACAGAAGAAACAGAATCCACCAGAAAGGACTTCCATACCTTCCATCAACAGCCATTCAGAATTCCCCACTTCTCTACTCCATCTCCACCTGTTCCTGGTGAGTGGGAAAAGTGTCCCCTTCCTCAGGTTACCACTGCCTCCAGGATTCCACCCCATCTTCTCCCACAACCTGTATCTTCAACTTCCCTTCACTTCTTTCTACCAATATTTAAACATGCCTAAGACTCTTCCATGTTAAAAAGATTTTAAAAGCCAGAAAACAAACATAACAACAACTGCCTGATCTTATAACCCTATAATCTGCTGCCTAACTCCCTTTCCCCTTCAGTCACACTTCTGGAAGAGCTGGCTTTGCTTGTCTCCAGTTCCTTCCCTTCCTTTCCTCCATCCAGGGCCATCTCCGTCTCCTGCCCCGACTAGGAGACAGTGCTTGCAAGGTCCTCAGCAGTCCAAGAGACACTTCTACAACCTGATGCACTGGTAGCATTTGAATGAAAATCGCTCCCTCTCACTGGAAACACTCTTATTATGGGTCAAGGATGCACACACTCCTAGCTTCTCTTCTACCTTTCTGGCCTCCCCTGGGTGTTCCTACCTGGTAGATGTCATTATGATCTAGCCCAGTGATTTTCAACCATTTTCATCTCATGGCAAACATAAACCAATTACTAAAATTCTGTGGCACACAAATAATATATTATTATTTTTTGCCAATCTGACAAAAAAATAGGTATAGTTTTGATTCATTCATACCAGACGGCTATTGTTGTGTTGGCTGTTGTCATATTTTTATTTGACAATCTAAGGGAAGAGAGGTCATTGTCCCTGACTAAATACTCAGGTATTGCCTGTTTAAAAAATTCTTGTGCACACCAGTTGAAAATCACTGACCCAGCCGGTTGCTCACGCCATCTGTCATCGTGAGCATCTTCTCTCACTGCCCTAATCCTTCATCCAGTCCTGCTGCTGTGCCTTCAGTATGGATTTGGAATCCTACCTTTTCTCAGAAGGTCCTCCTCTGCCAGCACCCTGGTCTCAGCCACTCCCATCTCTCACCTGGGACAACACAGTAGCCACTGGGAGGTCTCCCTGCCTCTTCTCTAGCTGCCACACAACAGCCAGTGGTTCTGTACACGTACAACACAATGGCATGCCCTCTTCTCACACCTCCAAGGTTATCCCCCATCATCCTTAGGCCTCAGGTTACATCTCACCTCCCATACACCCTCCCTGAGCCCCTCCTAATTTGTTCCATTCTGTGAACACCTCTGTACTCCTTCCAAGAGCACTCAATCCGCTGTGTCCTAACTCCTCTGTCCCACAGCTTCCTGAGCTCAGAGAGGGCAGGAACTGTGTCCATCTGTTAAATCCATCCTAAGAGCATGGCACCTTGTAAATATTACTTAAAAAACCTGTGAATGTACTGTCCTCCCCTCCGGCCCCCATTTCTAGACATACAATATTAGCAGATCCAGGAACAAACTGCAAAGGAAGGAAAAAGAGGTAAAATTCTCACAGCTCATTAATTGTTGAAAGAAGTTCCCAAATGGACCCCAAATATTCTAAAGATCCACAGTTTGATGAGCCATTTTGCTTCCTTGTCAAATGTCCTGCTGAGGCAAAAATAAAGCTGCAGGAAATCTTGTGACACAAAGCTGCTGATTGCCCCTGTGGCTTGTGTGTGTGGCAAATGAGCCTTGGGTTTAGGGACCCGTGTTCACCCAAATACCTGGATGGCCTTGCCCTGGGGCCCAGATGAAAGTGAAGATTCTGAGGGGGTGACTCATCAAATCTGGGGTTGCTGTTTACAGCCAAAGGCAGTTACTTAAGAGCAGGGAGGAGTTCCCTCCCGACCCCCAAACGAAAGTGAAAGAGGCAAAGTTAACTGCTTGAGCTGGGGTAGGACTAGCAGTCCCGCCCTGAACAGGGCTGAGGATGGCTGTGCCTGGCTACTTCCCGCTGCTGGTCGAGGGGTCCTGGGGTCCTGATCCCCCGAAGAGCTTGATCACCAAGTTGCAGTTGTACTTCCAGAGCCCGAAGAGATCTGGAGGCGGGGAGTGTGAGGTCCGACAGGAACCATGCAGCCCGGCCCGCTTCCTAGTGCTCTTCCACCCGCTTGACGGTGAGGGGCGCCGGGGCGGGGGGTGAGAGGAGACCATGGGGCTCTCCCTGTGGGGACACTTGGACTGGGGCGCGCAGCAGGACCGGCTCCAGCAGCAGCAGTTGGCGGTGGGCGGGTTGCAGAATGGACCAGAAATGCGCGGGGTCGCTGCTTTCCTCTGCCGCGCTTCTAAGAACTCAGAGGTGCCTCTGCCTGGAGGTGGCGGGTGGGGGCAGAACCGCGCCAGGGAGAACAGAAAGGCGCTGAGAGCCTGGGTACTCGCTTTATTTTACAAGGCTAATTGTGCGTTAATGTATTAATACACAGAGTGCTAATGGCAGAGTTACATCTCTTGCGCTTTTGGTCTTCTGCTTATTAAGGCAGCATTTCTAGAACTCCCAAGGTTTATGGGAACACGATTTTAAGGGAAGAGAAAGTTTCCCGGGATAAAAGTCCAACTATACGTTAGGGAGATAAATTTGGTTGAAAATAGGCACATTGGTTTCTGTTGGGAGAGACCATGAAAATCAGACCTTTGATGATTACGTGCAGTTATTCTGAGTGAGGACAAGTGAGTCCTTAACAATGAAAGTCAGTGTGGGGCTGGAAGAGACATATTGTGTGCTGTTGTGGATTTGGTAACTGATTCTATGGGAGTGGGCAGTGCTCCATTTGAGAGGGCGTGAGAGGAAGAGCCCTTCTTCCTTCTGTTAATTTTTAGGGGGAGGCGGAAGGGGCTAAGCCAGTGGTCGGCAAACTCATTAGTCAACAGAGCCAAATATCAACAGTACAACGATTGAAATTTCTTTTGAGAGCCAAATTTTTTAAACTTAAACTATATGGGTAGGTACATTGTTACTAACTTAATTAGGTACTCCTAAGCTGGCCTTTGCTAAAAACGTCCTCAATCTGATTGAGGTACATTCACTGAGGTCAACCCCTTCCAACTCTCCCATCCACACTCATCTTTTATCTAATGAAAAAAGTATACAAGACGAGTGTGGATGGGAGAGTTGGAAGGGGTCGACCTCAGCAAACATACCTCAATCAGATTGAACTCTTTAAAAGGTGGCTTCTAGGTTTTCATTTATGGAACTAGCACTAACCACTGCAAATGAGACTGCTGACTGCCTGGCTCACTCACCTCCTGCATGAATTTCACGCCTCCCCTGAGCTATGTATCCCGTGCTCTGCCAGCGCTGAGTCTCCCATCACCCTACTGACTGACACCCCCCACTTCTTCTAACTCCACTTCTTCAAAATAGACTTGCCCAGGCCAAAAACCAACTTCTGCGCATGGGCCACAAAGTTTCAATCTCACTGAACGTTCGCGCCTGCACGTGGTATTTTGTGGAAGAGCCACACTCAAGGGGCCAAAGAGCTGCATGTGGCTCGGGAGCCATGGTTTGCTGACCACTGGGCTAAGCAATGGGAGGAGTCATGAGATTTCCCCATGGGTCATGGAGCTTCCCAGTGGTTCTGGGGTCACCTGGGGAGGGGCAGAGGCCTGCTTAAAATCACATTGCCTGGGTGACAGAGAGAGAGTTATTGGAGGGAGATGACAGCTTGCTCCTGATCACCACTGTCTTTGTTGGTCTTCGCTGGCACCTGTCCCTCGGTTTCAGGCTGGTCCTCAGACTGGGTTGAAGGAGGTTGAGAGTTTTGAGCTTTTGAGGGGGAAGTTCCCCGCTCACAGGCAGTTGAGCAGCTGAGTTCTCTCCTCCCGCTTGCTTTTGCTGTTGAAGAAAAGGGGAGGCCCTGGCTGGTGGGTTCAGTGGTTAGAGCATTGGCCAGTGCACTGAAGGGTTGCAGGTTCAATCCCGGGTGGATGTGTCTCTCTCACATCGAAGTTTCTCTCTCTCTCTCTCTCTCTCTCTCTCTCTTTCTCTCTCTCTCTCCCTCCTTTCCACTCTCTAAAAATCAATGGAATAAATATCCACTGGTGAGGATTAACAACAATAATAACAACAACCACAACAAACACACACAAAAAAGAAAGGGGGAGGACGAATACCAAACATCTGCTTGCTTAAGACAACCACCAGGTACTTTACTGGGAAGCACGTGACCAGACACTCCCAGAGCACACACTTTTTGCATTGGAATCTCCTAGCAGAGGATGTGGACAACCCCTAATCCTGCTTTCCTTCCCTGGATTTGAGAAGCGTTTGGGCCAGAGGAGAGGCAAGGAGGCTTACAAGGCCATGAAAGCAATTGGAAAGCTTTAAGCAAGGATCCAGGAAGGAAAGATGAAACCCAGAGAGGAAAGGGGTACACAGAAGTGTGAAAGAAGTGAGGCGGGCAGGGGGCAGGAGACAGGAGATCTGCTGGGCCCAGAGCTTTATGGAAACAGGTACAGAGTTTTGCAAGGATTAATTTCACCAAGGAATGCACAGAAGGGCAGCTGCATGATATAAGGCATTTCCTCAAGGGATGTTACCACTTTGATTCCAACTGTTAGCATCACCATTCTGGCCCTTAGCAATGCTTCTTTCTTCTTTAGTATCTCATTAACCCTCAGCAGGTTAAACAGACACAGCCCAGCTCTGTCCTAGAGACACAGGAACCCTGAGTGTGGGTGGGTGAGGGCATCAGCACTTTGAACCAGCACCCTCGGTGACTCTGAGGCACTAAAGTTTGAGAATGCTGGTTGTTGATGTCCCTGGATGAACAAAATGGGAGCCCATTATAGGAAATACACACAGCATAGAAATACAACCAGTGCAAAATATGATTCTGTGATGATAACATCATTCTGTTCTAGCCCTCAAATTAGAACCAATTTCAGTCTCCTGCTAGGCTTCTTCCTTCAGCTGTTCTAGCCCACGACCCCCTACCTCCACCCCCAGGCTGCTCAATGGCCCCTTTGTGTTACCCTCAGCACAGACATCTCATAATCCCTGCAACTGATGACCTTTTATGGTCAAAGTTCTTGGGGAGTGGAAAGTCCCAGTCAGTTTCGGTTTCCTATCAGAAGCAGCTTTCTCAGCAGCAAGTTGCCAGGCAATTTGCTAACAATGAATGACCTGCCCTGGCAGTCCTAGGGCAGGAAATCTTGTCTTTACAGGGAGACCCATCCCCTCCACACCAGGAAGTGGCCTCAGCAGGTGCAGGCTCATCTTGTCGTGAAACAGGACTTTAGTCATATAATTCACATAATCAGGCTGAGCCCACCAGCATTTCTCTGTGGAAATTACTGTAGAGCAACCTGAACGATTGAGAAGCTGCATCTTACTTTTATACAGTTCATTGAATTTCTGAAAAGTTGAGCGTAAATTGACTTGGGAGATTTTTGGATGTGTACATTTATCATCCTCTCTGGTCATAATTTGGCTCCTGATTATTGTCAGTCTCTTTGGTGTAAGGAAACCCATTAATAAAAGTAAACATGGATGGTTTGAGATTAGTGCAGGAAGGACATAGGTCAGGGTGGCTGGACATCAGAGATTCAGCCTTATTCCTCCCAGATTCAGCTTTTCCTTGTTGGGGAGCACTTACTGATCTTGCTACCCTCTGTCCTCTTGAAGTAGTGATGCCCATGCATATTGCACACAAAACAGGATGGCACATTATTTATTTTTAAATTATTTTTAATAGATTTCAGAGAGGAAGGGAGAGAAAGATAGAAATATTAATGATGAAGGAGAATCATTGTTTGGCTGCCTCTTGCATGCCTCCTATGTGGGATAGAGACCGAAACCCAGTCATGTGACCTGACTGGAAATCAAACTATGACCTCTTGGTTCATAGGTTGAAGCTCAACCACTGAGCACACCAGCTGAGCCATGCTGACATTTTTATTTTATAATTTAATTTAATTGATTTAGTTTATTCTTACCCACAGATATTTTCTTCCATTGATAGGAAGGTATAGGGGAAAAAGGAAGAGAGAGAAAAAGAAACATTGGTGTGAGAGAGACACATCAATTGGTTTCCTTCTGCACTTGCCCTGATTGGGGCCAGGGGATGGAACCTGAAACCCAGGTACGTGCCCTTGACCAGGAATCAAACCCCTGGCCCTTCCATGGGAGGGTTGACACTCTTACCATTGAGCAACACAGGCCAGGGCCAGGCTGGCACATTTAAATGCATGGCCCTAGCCAGTCACGGGTTTCATCGATTCCCGTCAAGGGCACATGCCCAGGTTTCGAGCTCCATCCCCATTAGGAAGCATGCAGTATGTAGCCGATCAGTGATTCTCTCTTATCATTGATGTTTCTATCTTTCTCTGTCCCTCTCCCTTCCTCTCTGATATCAATAAAAAAATAAAAAAAAACAAATGTCTGGACAGGACTCTACCAAAGTCTAGGGAATAATAAAAGGAAGGTATCACACAGGTCCATGACTCTGGACAACCTGGCTTACAAAACTTAGCTTCTGCTCTGGCACTGGGTTCTTATCCAGCCCTTACTCAAGAAGCTTAGGGCAGCCCCTTAGGAGTCTCTGTGAAGACATCTTTCCTCCAATCAAGAGTGAAATTTGAGTCTTGTATTATTTCTGGGGGTCTGTTTCATTCTATTGGCATCCTATCCTTCCATGGATGGTTGAGGTGGGACAGCTACTTAAGCCTCTCTTTTTGAAAGATTCCTACCTGTATCTTTGGCCTCATCAGGCCAACCATATCAGAATGCAACATGATAACCCATCATTCATGCCAGGGCTACAACAGTGAACAGTAGGGACCTCTCAAAAGTTCCCCTTCACCCTGACATTTTTGCACCATCTGACTATGTCGACCACATCTCCTCATCTCCACTCACTCCCTATTCTCCACACTCTGAGATACACTAACTTTGCCTTTCTTTCTCTCCTGCCTCTTATAATTATAACTTACATTTGCATACCTTTTGTGTGTGTTACAAAATTCATTCACAGACCACTGGTTTGAATGAGAAAACATATTTAAGAGACGTGAAGATAGTTTCTCAATGTCACTCATCTAGAGTTGGAATTTTAATCCAGATTTTTAAAAAAATATATTTTATTGATTTTTTACAGAGAGGAAGGGCGAGAGATAGAGAGTTAGAAACATTGATGAGAGAGAAACATCGATCAGCTGCCTCCTGCACATTTCCTACTGGGGATATTCCCGCAACGCAGGTATATGCCCTTGACCGGAATCGAACCTGGGACCTTTCAGTCCGCAGGCCGACGCTCTATCCACTGAGCCAAACCAGTTTCGGCTAATCCAGATTTTTTGAATGCTTATGTTCACTGTTCAGTTTTTTTTCACTATAGCCCAGCTGCCTGATGTGCGATTTTGTTTTTAAATCTCTCCATCCATTTTTTCCTTTTCCTTTTCCTATCAGATGTGAGGCTTTTATCTTCACAAGTTAAAAGAATTGATTGAAAAACTTATTAACCAGGCTCCTGGCCATTCTGCTCCTGGTTACCCGAGTCACCTTCCTAAAACATGGCTTTTATCATGCCATGTCCCAGCAGCCAATGTTCACTGGCTCACCGTGATGGATGCTTTAATTATTTCATTTACTGTACAATAAATATTGCTCCCTTTCTGAGTGCCCACTGAGCATCAGGTACTATACTACATTCTTTATGTTTCTTCAGTTGAATCCACATAACACCCATATAATACAATCTTTATTAATTGCTTATTATACAGGAAGACTGAGGCTCTGGAAATACTTAAGGTTAAAAAAAATAAGTTTAAAGATAGAATTCAAATCCATGACTGCTTGATACACTTTTCCATTATTTTTTTCTTTCACCGAAGGCCTCTCTTGGGCAAACGACTGAGTAATTGACTGATGATGACAATGGCTTTGAAATATAGAATAATGTTGTGAATAAAGATTGCTTGATGGTTCTTCTTCTCCTCCTTCTTTTTTGATATTTCAGTTCGGGAGAACGTTCTGGAGAGAGAGAACCATGAGTTAGCATTGCCAGGAAGAGGAACATTTAAGTTAACGGTCAAGTTGCCTCCAGACCCAAATGAAGTCCATGATGCCTCTAAGGAGAAAATTCCAGCAACGGTAAGTAAAGGAGCAAGTAGCCAGGAAGTAGGGTGTTCTCCCAAGGTGTGTGGGATGGGAAGCACAATGAGGAACACCTAGTGGAACAAAAAATATAAATCAAACTGCAGTGAGAAATGCAACTTACAGATGTGGTGGGACAGGTATGGAATAATGAAGGAGGAGGCACTTTTTGTTTGATTTTTAGACACTTTCAGAAAAGTCAAGATTTGGGGGTTATAATAAGGGTGGTTTGAGATATAAAATTTTGGGTTGCTCTTAACCTGGAACTTGCTGTATTAGTTTTACTTTTACATTGTTTTGAGGAGATAGCGATCCATACTGCATGTACTAAGTATTTCCTAAAATGGTATAGTAATAGTATTTACCTTGTTGGATTGTTGGATTGTTGTGAGGGTTGGATGAGACAACCGGAGTAAAGCAAATGGTACAGTGTTCATGGGAAAGACTCAATAAATGTTAAATGGGGAAAAGATGCAGATCTTACCCCAAGCCCCGGACACTTGGTAATCACTGGGGTTTCTGTTATTTGTGACTAGTTTTTGCCAGTGATTTTTGTTCTGAGTAACTGGAGGTGCCACTACATATGGGGAGCATTCAAAAGCATTATTGCTGTATTTTTTCACTATTGTGTCTGCTGACCTTATATCTCCAGGCTGGTCTCAGGCACATTTTCTTAATGTAAAGAAATTTGCATTATTGGCAATTTATTAATGCTACTTTATTATTTGAATTTCAGGAATCCAAGGCCAAAGAACATGCCAAAGAACCAGGTAAGGTTTCAATTGAGATGACTGGCCTTCACAAGGCAGTTTTGCTTTGATTAAAGATGGCACTTATCTTCTTTACTTCACAAGGCAGGTTTTGCTAAACTTGGTGGTGCTTTGGGCTGCATCCCCATTATACTCTCAGCCAGCTGTTCAGAGGGTGAACACTGGGGCAGCCACTTGAGCTCTAAAGGCTCAGGTCAGAAGGATGGAAACAGCTCTCTCTGTGGGGACTGGGAGACACCTTGCAATTGAGCGGAGGGCTAAGAGGGCCTGGAGGAAGGTGATGGACTGACCTTTAGAGCCCACTTGTGCCCAAGCTGCCATCGAGAAGCAAGTGCATGACGTATCAGTGGGTGCTGTGTGTGGCCAAGTCAGTTTCTGAGCACTGGGTGTGGGAAGTGCTGTCCTCAGGAGCCACTACAGGAAGGTGTGGGTCCTCTGTGGATGAAAGCTTGAGTGCTGGGTGCAGGATGGGGTGCAACCCTCCAGAACAGCAGCAGCTCCTCTCCTCCATCTGCTATGAGATAGAGCCCGACACCTAGTGGCTGTTGTGGAGTCTGTTGCTTAACTAGTGTCTGGGTGTTAGCCTGTGGCACCTGACATTTACTAAAGAAGCCACACTTTTCTGGGCTAAGCATGGTGTTATAAAGGGGACGAAAAAGTGAAATGTGTTGAATGGCTGAGCAAGAGAGATAAAGTGATACATATCCAGATCTTTTGGGGAAAAAAAATTCCAAAAACATGTAAATATTTTCTTCTAAAGTAGAAATTGTCTTGAGAACATGTTTAGATTTTTGCAACTTTCTCTTTTTGAAAATGGTACTGGGATGAGAGCTTGGGGTCATTGTCAGGGCTCTTGGGTCCATTGTCAGAACTTCTGTCTTTTTTATTTGTCTTCAAGTGCATAACCAGTTTGCCCATCACCTACTAGAAATTTGTCTTTTCTTTAAGCTTTCACATGTTGGTCTCATTCATTCCCCCCTCACCCCAGGCCCCCATTATCACTTTACAAATCCAGCATGGCAGGAATACCCTGCTTGTTCTCTCTGTACCTGATGTCCTTCTCCTTAAATCTGACCAGTCCTTTGTATTGCGGGATATCTGGTCATCTTTTTCACAGAAACCTTCCCTGGCTCACCTTACCACCAACTGTAAGATAAAGTCCAGACCCCATTCTGGGGGGGGGGGGGTCTGATCTGGCCTCATTTCTTACATCTCTGTACATGAGAGCTCCTTAAGCTTTTTTGGTCAGATCACCATTTCCTAAATAGTTTGCCGCAATGCAGTACTCTGCCTGTATTCTGTTGCTCACAGTACTCTCTACCCCACGTGTCTCTACCTAAATCCAATAGACCCTTCAAAATTACTCAGATTCCTCCTCTTCTCTAAACCCTTCCCAAGCCAGCCAATCCCTTTATCTCTCTTTCCTGGAATCCTGACTTAATTGTTGGTGCTCTTTATATGGCAATGCCTCTCTTGTGATGAAGCTTCTAATAGTGGGGTGATAAAACTGTATTGCTAGCAAGGCTCTTATCATTCACTCAGTCCAATACTCTCATTTTTAAATTAAGAGATGTGCCCAAGCTCACATGGCTAAAGAGTGGCAGAGTCAGGGGTTGAACTCATAGGGCCTCACCTCCAGCCCAGTACTCATTCTGGTTTGTCATTCATGACTCATTGAATGCTAGTTTATGTTGCTGTTGAATCCTCAAGCTATTTTTTATTTGGCATAAATGTGTGTGTGTGTGTGTGTGTGTGTATGTATTTGTTGGGGTGATCTAACTGCTGTAACAAACAAGTCCCCAGATTACAATGCAGTGTAGTTGGCAGCTAGGGTGGTGGGTGGAGTGTAGACTGCTTTATGCAGTCATTTGGGAATCCAGGACCCCTTGATACATGGCCTGCAAGGTCACTGCAAGAGAGAAAGGAGATCCATATGAAGGAGACATGAATTGATCATGCTTAGAAGTAGAATTCACCCCTTCTTCCCATATTCCATTAGCCACACGAACTCTACTATAGGAACTTCACTGAAGGAAGTTTGGGTAATATTTCCTAGAAAGAAAACAAAGTGGATTTGATAAGCACATGACATTTTACTCTGCCATAATAAACATTTACAAATGTCAGTTTCTTTTCTTATTTTTCTTGAATACCTCCATTAGAAAATAAGTTCCTTATCCAATGTTTTTTGTATGTACCCTCTCCACATATCCAGTACCTTTAACATACCAAGGGCTCCAACTGTATAGTTGTGCAAAGAATGTCTAAAGATACTATTATACCCATCATGCTTCTCTGCACTGGATTAAGCCTAGAGTAAGACTGACCTTATGCATATGTGTAACTCACTTATGGTCAACAATGGGGAGGAACAAGCTGGCTGGAGTGATTGCTATTCACTGAGTTTGATGTACATGTATAGGCTCTAGGCCTTTTTACTATCTCTGTGTATCCCCTAGTCATTCAGTGCAAGCATCTTTTTTTCTCTTCAGTGATGGGAAGTACTGCTTTTCAGAGCATAAAGTGTTAGATCATGCTCATGTTTGGCATCATCAGATATTCTTGCTTTCCTCCAGTGGTCCAAGCACTAAATCTCCAATTCAACAGATATTCATTGAGCCTCAAGTATATACCATGTGCTAGCAATACCAGGATGCATAAACATGTTCCTTACCTTTGAGAAACTGAGTTCAATCACTGTGGTGCTGTGATAGAAGTATATGTTAGCAGAAAGAGGTGTAATAAAATTGAACATCATCATCAGAATTCATTTAAGCTAAAAGCCCTCTAAGATCTGTTTTTATTTGAGTTAGCTAAGAGGTTGGGAAGGAAAGAGGGCAGTGTCTTATGATAATTTACTTTGCTGAAAACATGGTAGATAAATATAACATCTTGACCTCTTTTGTATCCCTAAAATCAGATGCATCAGAAGATACACAAATCTCTCTCAACAAAAGATCAGAAAAAATGGAAGATATCCCAAAGCAATGTGAAAATATTCCCTCTTTGGTTGCATTTGAAAATCTCAAAGCAAATGTGACTGACATGATGCTAACCTTGTTGGTGGAGAACATAAGTGGCCTGTCCAGTGATGATTTTGAAGTGGAAATAATACGAGATTTTGATGTTGGCGTAGTTACCTTTCGAAAATACATAGGTAAGATGAACTGACCCTTCATGTTCAGTCTTCTTTGCACAGCACTTTTGGGATTTGGGACACCCAGCTAATGGAATGTCTCTGAAAGTTAGACTCTTGTTAGTAGCTGGTAAGAGAGGACGCCAAGTTAATATAGATCCTTTTTTATTTGAAAGAGAAGCAGTTTTGTTGTGAATCCAAATTATGGCATGTTTAATGAATTAAATTTATTGTATGAGTTTTGTGTGTATGTGTGTGTGTGTGTGTGTGTGTGTGTGTAAGAGAGAGAGAGAGAGAGAGAGAGAGAGAGAGAGAGACACACCTAAATGAAAATCTAATGAAGTCCATGGATCTTAACGTGATTCTGAGCACAGGAGTGAGTGTTTTCACGCGCTACCACATTGAGAGAAGTAAATATGGATCTGTGTTACCAAATTGGACTTGAAAGTAATAATTATAATACTAGCAAACACTCAAATGCTGTTAGTGTAAGTCAGGTACTATGTTAAGCTCTTTACATGTATTACTTGATTTGTTCCTTTCAACAACCTTTTGAGATGATTATTATTTCTCATTTTATACCTGAGGAGACAGAGGTGCAGAGATGCTAATAAATGAAGAACTGGATTTGAACCCTGGCAGCATACCTCTATACAGCCTGTTCTGTTATCCCCTTTACCATATATCTTCTCAGTGTTTTCAGCGTCATCTACTTGTGCAGGGAGAGTAAGTGCATGTGATGCAGAAAATGAGTGCTCTTTGAGGTCTGTGGGAGGAGTCTGTGAGTTGGAAGAGCCATCTCCAGAAAAACGGGGACATTTTCCAATTCCAAGTCCTCACTGTTCCATAGCTGAGGCAGTGGAATGGTTAATTAAGAGCACAGGTCATGCCCTGGCAGGTGGCTCCATTGGTTAGAATGTTATCCCATGCACCAAAAGGTTCTGGGTTTGATGCTGATGTTTTTCTCTCACATTGATGTTTCTCTCACTCTCTCCCTTCCTTTCTCTCTCAAATCAACAAAAACATATCTTGGGTGAGGATAAAAAAAAAAAAGAGCGAGGTCATGATGTCAAAATTCTAGCTTCAACATTTAACTAATTATCTGAGGTTGGCCAAGTTACTATCCTCTGTGTGCTTTGCTTTCTTCACCTATAAAATGGGGATAAGAATACCTGCCTTATTCAGTTTCTGTGAGAATTAAAGAAATAATGTTTGAAAAACTCTTAACATCGTTCCTGGTAAGGACATGGTAAGGACTCAATAAGGGAGCTATTCTACTTTCAAGTTTATGATTATTTCTCATAAAGGAATAACTAGATGGATCTGCTTTTGTTTATTGAGCAAAAATTTTGAATGCCTACTATGTGCACGTGTCTAGGTGCTGTAGTAGTAATATGAGATTTTGATGTTGCCAAGATGAATAATTCTTGGTCCCTGCTTCTCAGGAACTCCTATGGTGCAGGGTGGAAACCAATACACAAATGAACAGTGAAGATCAAAGGAGAAGTTGCCTCCCTTGGCTGTGAACAGCAGGCTGTGGGGAATGGGAGGAAAGGGGACCCAAACAGGGCAGTGTGGCTTTGCCCTGCCTCCATCCTTCTATGAAGCTTAGACTCCTGCAGTACCAGGCTATCAGGTCCCCAATATACTATGTTCAATGTCACTGCTGTTCCCTCTGCCTGAAATGCTTCCTCCCATATCTATCTGGTAAACTCTTCTTCATCGTTCAAAACTCAGATTGGTGACTACTTACTCTGGGAATCCTTGTCTGAGTGCCAATATTAGTCTTCTGGCCTCATTTGATACCACAATAGACCACTTGTTTGCTTTCAAGACTTCCTCCTTCCTGGAAGGTGAATGTTCAAGAACTTGTATTCAACTCCCTCCCCAGCTCCTAGCACAGTGCCTGACACAATGTGGGCCCAGCATCAATATTTATTTATTTGAAAGAGATAATTGGGTTGAGTCCTGAAGAAGGAATAGGACCAAGATAAAAAATTGGAGGAGGGCATTTCAAGCACAGGAAACCATATAAACAAAGACAAAGGAGAATGGTTTTGAAAATAATGACTAGTTTCTGTGGCAGTATGAAAATAAAATGAATGGCATGGAATAACCAGAGGTGATATTTAGAAATTAGTTTGGAGTCAAATAGCAAAGGACATATTTCACCTAGCTCAGGAGTGTGAACTCATGCCTGCAGGTAATGGGGAGCCATTGAAAGACTTGAGAAAGGGGTGAAGTGAGGAGATTTGAATAGTAGAGAGTACTCAGGTGGTTATATCAAGGAGGGCTGGAGCGGGCTGTGGAGGTAGGGACACAACTCTGTGGTAAGACATTCATAAATGCATCATTGTTCAGAGACTGGGAATTTTTGGCAAATAAATTGCCTGCTCCACCCCCTGCCCAGGCCTGACACCTCTGGCCCAGGCTTCAGGCCTTGACAGGGGACCCCCAGACCCCTCCAATTGCTGGCTCTGCCCCCCGCCCAGGCCTGACGCCAGGGCAGGGGACCCCCGGGTGCTTCCTATTGCCGTCTCCACCACCGCCCAGGCCTGACGCTTCTGGCCCAGGCTTTAAGCCTGGGCATGGGACCCCTATCTCCCCCCGATCACTGGCTCCGTCCCCCCCCACCCAGGCCTTATGCCTCTGGCCCAGGTGTCAGGCCTGGGCAGGGGACCCCAATCTCCCCCCAATTACTAGCTCCACCCTCGCCCAGGCCTGATACCTCGGCCAGAGGCGTCGACCACCATCACCCTCCAATCGCTGGATTGGTCCCTTGCCCAGTCCTGAGGCCTCCACTAGATGTGTCAGGCCTGGGCAGGGAACCCCCATCCTCCCCTATTCACTGGCTTCTGGGAGGCTTCTGGGGCTTCTGGGGCCAGCCTGTGGCCCGGGATCAGAACCCATCATGGGTGGCAGGCAGGTGGCTTCTGGGGTTGCACACGGGGGCCTGGATAGTGGCTCTTGTGCTGGTGGCAGCGCTGTCCTGCCTGCAGTATGCAAATTAGCGGCAATCTTTGTTGGTGGTTAATTTGCATATAATGCTGATTAGCCCATGGGAGGTGTAGCGAAGGTACGGTCAATTATCGTGTTTGTCTATTATTAGATAGGATAATTTTCTGATTGATTAATTTTGGTTTGCAGATGCCATGAAATTTGTTGAAGATTGTGTGCCATGCACCATTCAGTGACACGACTTCAGCTTTCTCCAAGACTTCTGGAAATGACAAAAACAATCAGGGTTGAAAACCTGCCACCTGGTGTTGACTCCGATAATTTGAAATGTTTATTTGAAAATCCTCAAAATGGAGGGGGAAGAATTGTCAGTATTGAATGTTTTCCTGAAGAGAGTTCAGCTCTGATAGAATTTTTTGACAGAAAAGGTAATGTCTATTAGCCTGATTTTGTACACCTTTCCTGGCATAATTTAAATTTGTTAACATATCTTACTATTATAGTTATCAGTTAAATTCTGATGTATTTTATTTTTATTCATATATTTCCTTGGTAATCCAGTTAGGAATCCTGTTCATCTGGGATATGATATTTAATGTGTCCAGTGATTCAAACATTAAAGAAGTAATGTCACTTTTTTGAAAGATATAACGTTTCTCTCTATAAGTCTCTACTTATGATAACTGAAAAATCTATAACTCTTAGAATCCTGGAAATACTGTGTTTAAAAAAAAAAAGCAATTTTCTGTGTTTTTAAGCTGTACACTTGCAGAAATTCTGAAGTTAATTTTAACAAGTTAAGGAAAGAAAATACTCAGAAATGCACATGCTCCTAGAAAGTGTCACTATGTCCCCTTTCACCTGTCAGGGTCATCATTCAGAAGTTAATAGGGGCGATTTCACATGATCAGTGGGTGCAGTGACCCTGTGAAATCTCCAGCTGAACCTCAGGGAAGCACTCCTGAGGGTTTTGTAGACATAAATTGCCAGTTCTCTGAGACACTTGCAAAGCCGGCTTGGAGATTCCATTCATGTTCAGAGGTCAAGGCTGAGGAATTAGGGAACCTGACTTCCTAGGGAAAGAAAAAACATGGTGTTTGGGGTTAAATGGGGGAGCATGAGATAGGATCATGTGATATGCTACCCACTTAAGATAAATTGCTTCATGGGGTGCTTGGAAGAACCTTCTTCAGCTTTTATAAGTTGGAGAAGGTGGGGTGAAGGTATGTTTTAGCTTAAAATAGAATGAAAGACGTAGTGTTCCTTGGGAAAAGTTAGAGCTACATAAAGCTGTCTACTCTAGAATTTGGCTCCCAGCCAATGATGGGAGTTGACAACTTTGTGGCTTTTGAATAAATTGAGGGCATGGGGCAGTTGGGTGTGTCTTCAGAATGCCTAGTTATGAGGTACCACTAATAATAGGAAGTATTTAATTGAGGCTTATCTTATTTTTTAAATTTTTTTATTGTTTTAAGTGTTACATATAGTATTATTACATATGTCTCTTTTTCCCCGCATTGACCTCCCCCTACCTACCCCACCCTCCAGCACATGCTCTCACCCTGCTAGTGTCTGTGTCTCTTGGTTATGCTTATATGCATGCATACAGGTCCGTTGGTTGATCTCTTTCCCCCATCCCCCCGCCTTCCCATTAAAGTTTGACCATCTGTTTGATGCTTCTCTGTCTCTGCATCTATTTGTTTTAAATTAAATCTTTATTGTTCAGATTATTACAGTTATTCCTCTTTTTCCCCTCATAGCTCCCCTCCACCCATTCCCCCCCCCACCCTCTGCTCTCACCCCCCCCCCCCCACTGCCCTCATCCATAGGTGCACGATTTTTGATCAGCCTCTTCCCACACCCCTTTCCCCCCAAGAATAGTCAGTCCACTCCCTTTCTATGGCCCTGATTCTATTATAATCACCAGTTTATTCAGTTCATCAGATTATTTATTCACTTGATTTTTAGATTTACTTGTTGATAGATGTGTATTTGTTGTTCATAGTTTGTATCTTTACTTTTTCTTCTTCTTCCTCTTCTTAAAGGATATCTTTCAGCATTTCATATAATACTGGTTTTGTGGTGATGAACTCCGTTAGCTTTTTCTTATCTGTGAAGCTCTTTATCTGACCTTCAATTCTGAATGATAACTTTGCTGGATAAAGTAATCTTGGTTGTAGGTTCTTGGTGTTCATCACTTTGAATATTTTTTGCCACTCCCTTCTGGCCTGCAAAGTTTCTGTTGAGAAATCAGCTGACAGTCGTATGGGTACTCCCTTATAAGTAACTGACAGTCTTTCTCTTGCTGCTTTTAAGATTCTCTCTTTTGTCTTTTGTCATTGCTTTACAGGCGTTGCTATTATTGTAATCCTTATTTTACAAATGAAGTGCATTTTAATTATGATGTGTCTTGGTGTGGTCCTCTTTGGATTCCTTTTGTTTGGGGTTCTCTGCGCATCCTGGACTTGTAAGTCTATTTCTTTCACCAGGTAGGGGAAGTTTTCTGTCATTATTTCTTCAAATAGGTTTTCAATATCTTGCTCTCTCTCTTCTTCTGGCACCTCTATAATTCGAATGTTGGCACGCTTGAAGCTGTCCCAGAGGTTCCTTACACTATCTTCATATTTTTGGATTCTTTTTTCATTTTGCTTTTCTGGTTGGGTGTGTTTTGCTTCTTCATATTTCAAATCTTTGACTTGATTCCTGTGATCCTCTGGTCTGCTGTTGGGATTCTGTATAATATTCTTTATTTCAGTCAGTGTATGCTTAATTTCTAGTTGGTCCTTTATCACAACCTCAAGGGTCTCATTAGATTTCTTGAGGGTCTCATTAAGTTTATCGGCGGTTTCTAGAAAGTTCTTGAAAAACCTTAAAAGTGTGGTTTTGAACTCTATATCCAGTAGTTTGCTTTCCTCCATTTTTGTCATTTGTGTCCTGTTTCTTTGTCTCCGCATTTTTTTTATGCTTCTCTGTGTCGATAAAGTGGCTTTCTGTGCTAGGTGTCCTATAGGGCCCAGTGGTTCAGCCTCCCCAATTACCTGAGGTAGACACTCTTGGTGCACCCCTTGTGGGCTTTGTGCACAGTCTTGTTTTAGTTAAGCCTTGATTGTTGTAGGTAACACTGGGAGGAATTGACCTCCAGGCCACCTGGCTATGAGAATCAGCTGTGTCTGCAGTGGTAGAACTTCTGTGCTGGAGAAATCCCTCCAGGGTAAGACTTGCTTCAGTGGGGCTTTGGTGCTCACTGAGTCTGCCCCCTGAGTGTGTCCTTTATGGATCCGAGGAGCTGCAATCTGGATAGTCCCACTCTGACCACTTGGCACACTGGCTCCTGGATCTCTAAGGAGGTGCTAATCTAGCCTTTGCCTGAGGCTACCCAGCAGGAGCCAGCTGTGACACAATGCAAATTGCCCTGGGGCCTTGGGCCAGGTGCAGTTTGTTAGGTAATTATCAGATTGCAAAGGGCCAGGTCTTTCATATGCAAAAGCCTCTGTGCACGGCTTGGGCAGGGCGGGGTCCCAGGGGATCAACAGGGTGGAGCGAGCAGTTATGGCTACTCTCAGTCCTGCCCTCAGAGGCCTTGCTTCTCAGTGTCCCAGCAATCACTGCAAGCACCTCCGAGAGAAAGCCGACCGATGCCATAGTCCAGTTTCTCTCGTATGTGTCTGGGTCTCCAGAGACTCACCCGGAACTGGAGCTCAGAGCTTGAGACTCCCTCCCAATTGAAAAAAACAACCGTGTCCTCAGCCGCCAGCCCTCTCTGCATGCAGCTCTGTACCTCTGTATTTTACTTCTGCCCCGTACCTCCTCTGAGTCTCGGTATGCTTTTCTCTTTCTTTCTAGTTGTAGAATTTCCACTCAGCCAGCCTTCCTGTGGTTCTGGATGATGTCCGTTCTGTCTTTTAGTTGTATTTTTGATGTGGTTGTGCGTGGCAGCAATCTCCGGTGTTTACCTATGCCGCCATCTTGGTTTTTCTCTCGGCATCTATTTTTGTCCATCAGTTTATGTTGTTCATTATATGCCACAAATGAGTGAGGTCATGTGATATTTATCTTTCTCTGACTGGCTTATTTTCCTTGGCATAATGGTCTCCTGTCCCATCCATGCTGTTGCAAAGGATAAGAATTCCCTTTTTTAACAGCAGCATAGTATTCCATTGTGTAGATTTACCACAGTTTTCTTTTTTTTAAGTTTTTTTATTGCTTAAAATATTACAAAGAGTGGTACATTTGTCTCCTTTTTTTCCTGCCCTTGACCTTCCCCCAGCCTCCCCTACCCCCCAGTGTCTTGTGTCCATTGGTTATGCTTATATGTATGCATACAAGTCCTTTGGTTGATCTCTTACCCCGTCCACCCAAGCCTCCCCAGCCTTCCTGCTGTAGTTTGACAGCCTCTGTATCTATTTTTGTTCATCAATTTATAATGGTCTTTATTAACGATAAGGGAGTGAGATCATGTGGTATTTTTCTTTCACGGACTGGCTTATTTCACTTAACATAATGCTCTCCACTTCCATCCATGCTGTTGAAAATGGTAAGAATTCCTTCTTTTTTATAGCAGCATAGTATTCCATTGTGTACATGTACCACAGTTTTCTAATCCACTAGTCTGCTGATGGGCACTTAGGCTGTTTCTAAATCTTAGCTATTGTAAATTGTGCTGCTATGAACATAGGGGTGCATATATGCTTTTTGACTGGTGTTTCTGTTTTCTTGGGATATATTCCTAGAAGTGGGATTACTGGGTCAAATGGCAGTTCCATTTTTAATTTTTTGAGGAAACGCCATACTGTTTTCCACAGTGGCTGCACCAGTCTGCATTCCCACCAGCGGTGCACAAGGGTTCCTTTTGCTTGGCATCCTCGCCAGCACTTGTCGTTTGTTGATTTGTTGATGATAGCCATTCTGACAGGTGTGAGATGGTACCTCGTTGTTTTGATTGGCATCATGGATGATTAGTGACTTTGAGCATGTTTTCATATGTCTCTCTGCTTTCTGTATGTCCTCTTTTGAAAGGTGTCTATTTAGGTCCTTTGCCCATTTTTTTTTTTATTGGATTGTTTATTTTCCTTTTGTTAAGTTGTATGAGTTCCCTATAAATTTTAAACCCTTATCAGAAATAACATTGGCAAATATGTTCTCCCATGCATTGAGCTTTCTTGTTGTTTTGTTGATGGTTTCTTTTGATGTGCAGAAGCTTTTTATTTTGATGTGGTCCCATTTGTTTATTTTCTCTTCGTTTCCATTGCCTTAGGAGCTGTATTTGTAAAGATATTGCTATGACATATCTGCTATTGGTAAAGATATTATTATGACATGTCTGCTGTTTTGCTGCCTATGTCTTCTTCTAAGATTTTCATGGTTCTTCATTGTACGTTTAAGTCCTTTATACATTTTGAGTTTATTTTTGTGTAAGTTGGTGATCTAG